GCACAATTTCCGGAAGCCCATAGGAAGGGAGCTTCGAAAGAAGCGCTTTGTGCCAAACCCGATCGAAGGCCTTCGCAATGTCCAAACTAACGGCCAATGCCTCCCCCTTGGACTCTTCTGCCTCCGCACATCTGTGAGTTAGGTAGACCAGAAGATCACCAGCTGACCGACCACGGCGAAAACCGTATTGGCGGTCACTAATCAGCTGGTGATCCTCAAGGTACCTCATGAGCTGGCAGTTTAAAATGGACTCCATTGTTTTGGAGAACAAGGAGGTGATGGCGATAGGCCGGTCGTTGGACGGGTCTGAGCGGTTGCCTTTTTTAGGGATCGGGTGGACGAAAGCCGTCTTCCATGATTTTGGGACTACGCCTAGGTAGTAGGAGTACCGGAAAAGACGCGTTAAAACCAGTGCCAACTCTGGAGCACAAGTCCTCAGCACAATTGGGGGGATTAGGATAGGGTATTGTTAATGTTGTTTGTTAATATTTTTGTATAAAATATTTATGCCATTGAGATATGAGTAATTTTGTCTGTCTGTCCTAGCTAATCTTTGGAATGGCTAAGACGATTGTAATAAAAAAGAGAGGGGGAGGTTAACAACGTTGTAAAGATTGGGAGTGTGTCGACGAGAGTCGCGTACCTTATAGTTAGAATCACCAGACGGTATTAGCTGAAGGTCATACAGATTTACGCACCAACCTCGACACATCAAGATAAGGAGGTCGAGGAAATGTATGAGAATATCTATAGCCATGCATTCCTCCAAAACCCACTATACGGTGTTAATGGGTGACTTCAACACAAAACTAGGCACAAGAGAGAACGGTGAGCTGAAAGTAGGGAAATTCGGAATAGGGCAACAAAACTCAAGGGGCCAGCAGCTAGCCGACTTTATGGAGAAAGAGGAACTTTTTATGATATGAAACTCTTTCTTTCAAAAGCGGCCCCTCAGAAACTGGACCTCGTCGAGCCGATATAGTTCATTATTTTGACCAGACAATAACTGCCCAGTGATGTCTCAGTGGTTGCAAGGGTGAAAATTAGCGGCAATCACCGAATGGTGTGAGGCTGAGGTACAATGAACCTAAACGTGAAGTTGGAGAGTCAACGCTCCGTCCCGCTTGTGCTCTAATTTAAAGCCCCGAGAACTTTCAGCTCGGGTTACAAAACCGTTTTCAGTGCCCAGAAGACTGCAATGAAGTGGACGACATGAATGAAAACCTTATGGAAACTGTCCATGCGATCGAAGCTAAGTTTTGTAAAACCCGTCGTAGAAAAACACAAATAATCTCCTATCACACTCTTAATTTTATGGCTGTTAGACGGGAGATGAAGCTGCAGTCTTTATTAGATTTGACAGCATACAGGCAATAAAGCAGACAAATCTCCAAATGCATGCGGCAGGACTTACGCAACTTCAATACAGCACGTATTGAAGAAGAGATCCATCGGAACCAGAGCTCCAAAGTCTTTGCACGAGATCTGTCTGCCAGAAAGATCCAACTGTCGAAGCTGAAGACCGAATGTGACAGAATTGTTTCCGGGACACCTGAGATTCTGAGTGAGATTGTGAGGGCAGCTGTGCACATCATCGTTGGAGCCACACGCAAGTATAAGTAACGATGCAAGAGCAAGTCTTATCCGATTCTATTCCGTTGATAACCCGGATGTCAGTCTGAGCGAGATTAGAATTGCTCTCCAGCACCAAGAACGGCAAGTATCCAGGCGAGGATGGAATTACAGCGGAGCTTCTGAAAGCGGGTGAAAACTCGATAGTTAAAGTCCTTCAGAAGCTCTTTAATTCTATCCACCATAGTGGCAATACATCGGAGGCGTGGAACTGTAGTCTTGTTCTTCAAGAAACGCGACAACGCTCTCTTGAAGAACTACTGACCAATATACCTTCTGAGCCGCGTCTACGTGCTTTAGCACCATAAACCACAAACATACCCTTCGGCGAATTCTACTGAAGTCTGAAGAGTACGATCTGCCACTTGTCTTGCGTATGTGGACTATTAGAAAGCCTTTGATTCCGTCGAAACTTGGGCAGTGCTGCAGTCTCTTCAGCGGTGCCAAGTTGACTATCGGTATATCGAAGTGCTGAAGTGTTTGTACAGTAGGGCAACGATGACTATCCGAGTACAGAACCAGAGTACGAAACTTATCCAACTGCAGAGAAGTGTAAGACAAGGTAACGGAATATCCCCAAAACTCTTTGCCGCTGCATTGAAGGACGTTTTCAAGCTACTAGATTGGAAAGGATACGGTATTAACGTCATTGGTGAGTATAATAATCGCCTTCCTTTGCCGACGATATAGTCTTTATGACAGAATCGCCGGAGGGCCTAAGCACTATGCTCAATGACCTCAGTAGTGCCTTCCAACAGATGAGCCTTAAGATGAACATGGACAAAACAAAAGTTATGTGTAATGTCCATGTCACACCCATGCCGGTGGTTGATGGGAGTACTAAGCTCGAATTTGTTGACAAGTATGTTTACCTGGGACAAGTAGTCCGACTAGGTAAGTCCTACTTTGACCGAAAAGTCAATCGACGGATTCAACACGGCTGGGCAACGTTCTGGGGATTACAACACATCTTATCGTCAGGCATACCTCGAAACTAGATTGTACAAACCGTGCGTGTTGCCAGTGATGACCTATGGATGTGAGACGTGGTCCTTCACTGCTGGCCGTATGAGGAAACTCAAAATAGCTCAGCGAGCTATGGAGAGGGCTATGCTCAGAGTTTCTCTGCGTGATAAACTTAGAAATAAGAATATCCACAGTAGAATCAGAGTAACCGATGTAGCCTAACGGTTTATTAAGCTGAAGTGATAGAAAAAAAAGTTTCTCGAGTGGCAGCCTCGTACCGACAGGCGAAGTAAAGGGCGTCCCCATACTAGATGGAGCTGGTAAGACATCCAGGAAGTTGATGGATGCAGGTGGCTCAGGACCGTGCTTTGTGGCATTCCTTGGGGAAGGCCTTTGTACAGTAGTGGACTTGTGAAAGGCTGTAATGATGATGATGAAGACACTTTATTCATTTATAATATTTGGCACCTGCCAACAATTGTCTTTGGTACCCAGAGTTTATTGTACGCCGTGCTTACTTTTATTTGATGATATTTTATAGTTGCGCTTGATATACAGTCGACATACCCCGTGCTTACTTTTATTTGATGATATTTTATAGTTGCACTTGATATACAGTCGACATACCCCGTGCTTACTACTATTATTTGTTGATCTTTTATAGTTGCACTTGATATACAGTCGACATACGCCGTGCTTACTACTATTATTTGTTGATCTTTTATAGTTGCACTTGATATACAGTCGACATACGCCGTGCTTACTTTTATTTGATGATATTTTATAGTTGCACTTGATATACAGTCGACATACGCCGTGCTTACTTTTATTTGATGATATTTTATAGTTGCACTTGATATACAGTCGACATACGCCGTGCTTACTACTTTATTTGATGATCTTTTATAGTTGCACTTGATATACAGTCGACATACGCCGTGCTTACTACTATTATTTGATGATCTTTTATAGTTGAACTTGATATACAGTCGACATACACCGCGCTTATTATTATTAATTTGTTGATCTTTTAGCTAGGTTTCCGTATTGTGTTTTGATGATTGTTTGAATATAATATATTAGTTGTTACTTTATTAATGAATCCGATTTTTAAATCTTCAAATTTCAAATAACTTAAAGGTTTGAAGTGCACAGAGACCGATTTAGAAGATTTTAAAAGGATGTGTATAAAGGTATTTGTCTGTGTGTGACGCATGTACAAATAGTGTATTGTAAAATTTTTCGTCTAGCTGTGAAAATTTAAAACAATGATACCAATATAAGGCGAATTCAATTGATGCGTTATTGCATAATGAACCTTTTTAAAAATTTATTTAGCATTTTCCATAATATAACAAAAAATACTCAGTCACCAATAGAAGAAGTTGACAGTGAAAACAAATCGATGTTAACTGTTTAAATAGTGTTGAAATAAAACACATAATAAAAATAAAATACAAATTTATTAAATATAACCAGGCGTAACATTGCAGATATACATTATTTTGCATGATTCTCATAGCAAAATAATAATATATTTTTAATAAGTTCTAACTTAAATCTAAACTTATTATGTAATACAAGGCACATATATCTTACTCTAATATTTACAATTATTGCATCGATATTCTGCAACTGTATACTCGTAAAACTAGTGCGAGGTCTTTTATAAAATGTAAAAATATAAGTTATTTCACCTGAAATTTCTACATTTTATATTATTTGTAAATCTTATTCTAATATAGCTTTTTCTATGTACACAGTACATAATAATTGTAACAGTTACAGAATTTTAAATTTATCGTGTTAAATAAAGTAAATTATTGATAGCGTCATCTTAGTAAAGAAAAAATTCAATATTTTTGAAAGTTCAACCAGAGTACCTACCTTACACGAAAACTTGTACATAAATCAAAGTCAAATAAAATTCATAATTACGTTTGAAAGTTAGTTTAAACTAAAGCAAATCCCGTGTTTTCACTCGCTCGCGGACAATTCAGACTGAAGCGACTTTCCGCATTTCTATCCCCATAGAAATATCGAACCCAAAGGAGAAGCTTGATAAAGCTGACGTATTAAAAAATAATTTGTGAGACAAACAATTAAAAGATATCCAATTTTAGCCCATTAGCGAATTAGCCAAGTCCGGTGTAAACTTAATCCATATGACCATTAGCGCCATTTTTAACGCACACACACACCAGTAGTTTTAAAGTGCCACAGATGTTTGCTAATGCTAATCGACGCAAATTAATCATTTCTAAATCCCGGTCGAGATTTGCTACAACATGAACAAACATTAATACCCACGTGTACAAAATATAGAATAATCATTAAACTCCATCTTTTAACTCATACAACTACCTACTACATACAACTTCATCAATTACGAACAAAGCAGTCTATTGTTTTAAAACTACACTTAATGATAAATATGTAGATTTAAATACTGAGCGACGGTCGTTTCTTTCGTACACTTTTGCTGTTTTTGCCGAATATCGTGCCGATGACCTGTTGAAAACAAAAACATTGGTCATATTACTACGTGAAATATGGATTCAGCGCGTGAAGGAATCCTGTTTTTAGAAAGCTTCACACGCATTAGTTCCTTGTTATTCAGACTAATTGAACCTGTAGTTAATTACTCTACAGAATAATATTCTTCGTATTTAAAATAATAAAATATTTATTCGTAAAAAGAGTGTTTTCAGTGATATTTTTATAATATAATAAGTTTTTAACCTTTCAGAAATCGCTCCTCTATAACTGACAAACTTTTTTCAAGGATTGTGTATTAAATTGGCTTATTATTGTAAGTTAAAACACTAACAAAGAAAATGGGAGTATTTATTGTACGGAATAGGTACAGGTAATTCAAATTTCTTAAACTTTAACATTGGAAGTAGGAAATAGGATGTACTTTGCCTTAAGGTCATGCTCCATCACGTAAAGAGTGGTTACAGAATAGGTGGCACGGACAGCAGTGCGTGAGACACAATTGTGTAGTGCGATTAAGACGTGTCTTTGAGACTGTGACTGTGCATTACTCGATAGTGTCAAACCTTGAACAGAGAATAGGCGGTGAGCTCGCAGCATGACAGCAACGCGAAAATATTGTATGGCGTGTGACGTACCTTGGAGACGGAGTAGGCATCGAGCTTGCGGCACGGTGCGGGTAGCAGCAGCGCGTGGAACGCAATAGTGTTGTACGGTGTGAGACGTACCTTGGAGACAGAGTAGGCAGCGAGCTTGCGGCGCGGTGCGGGTAGCAGCAGCGCGTGGAACGCAATAGTGTTGTACGGTGTGAGACGTACCTTGGAGACAGAGTAGGCAGTGAGCTTGCGGCGCGGTGCGGGTAGCTGCAGCGCGTGGAGCGCAATAGTGTTGTACGGTGTGAGACGTACCTTGGAGACAGAGTAGGCAGCGAGCTTGCGGCGCGGTGCGGGTAGCAGCAGCGCGTGCAGCGCAATAGTGTTGTACGGTGTGAGACGTACCTTGGAGACAGATTAGGCAGCGAGCTTGCGGCGCGGTGCGGGTAGCAGCAGCGCGTGCAGCGCAATAGTGTTGTACGGTGTGAGACGTACCTTGGAGACAGAGTAGGCAGCGAGCTTGTGGCGCGGTGCGGGTAGCAGCAGCGCGTGGAACGCAATAGTGTTGTACGGTGTGAGACGTACCTTGGAGACAGATTAGGCAGTGAGCTTGCGGCGTGGTGCGGGTAGCAGCAGCGCGTGCAACGCAATAGTGTTGTACGGTGTGAGACGTACCTTGTAGACAGAGTAGGCAGTGAGCTTGTGGCGCGGTGCGGGTAGCAGCAGCGCGTGGAACGCAATAGTGTTGTATGGTGTGAGACGTACCTTGGAGACAGATTAGGCAGCGAGATTGCGGCGCGGTGCGGGTAGCAGCAGCGCGTGGAACGCAATAGTGTTGTATGGTGTGAGACGTACCTTGGAGACAGATTAGGCAGTGAGCTTGCGGCGCGGTGCGGGTAGCAGCAGCGCGTGGAACGCAATAGTGTTGTACGGTGTGAGACGTACCTTGGAGACAGATTAGGCAGTGAGCTTGCGGCGCGGTGCGGGTAGCAGCAGCGCGTGGAACGCAATAGTGTTGTACGGTGTGAGACGTACCTTGGAGACAGAGTAGGCAGCGAGATTCCGGCGCGGTGCGGGTAGCAGCAGCGCGTGGAATGCAATAGTGTTGTATGGTGTGAGACGTACCTTGGAGACAGAGTAGGCAGCGAGCTTGTGGCGCGGTGCGCGTAGCAGCAGCGCGTGGAACGCAATAGTGTTGTATGGTGTGAGACGTACCTTGGAGACAGATTAGGCAGTGAGCTTGCGGCGCGGTGCGGGTAGCAGCAGCGCGTGGAACCCAATAGTCTTGTATGGTGTGAGACGTACCTTGGAGACAGAGTAGGCAGCGAGCTTCCGGCGCGGTGCGGGTAGCAGCAGCGCGTGGAACGCAATAGTGTTGTACGGTGTAAGACGTACCTTGGAGACAGAGTAGGCAGCGAGCTTGCGGCGCGGTGCGGGTAGCAGCAGCGCGTGCAACGCAATGGTGTTGTACGGTGTAAGACGTACCTTGAAGACAGAGTAGGCAGCGAGCTTGCGGCGCGGTGCGGGTAGCAGTAGCGCGTGGAACGCAATAGTGTTGTACGGTGTGAGACGTACTTTGGAGACAGAGTAGTCATCGAGCTTGCGGCGTGGTGCGGGTAGCAGCAGCGCGTGGAACGCAATAGTGTTATACGGTGTGAGACGTACCTTGGAGACAGAGTAGGCAGCGAGCTTGCGGCGCGGTGCGGGTAGCAGCAACGCGTGCAACGCAATAGTGTTGTACGGTGTAAGACGTACCTTGGAGACAGAGTAGGCAGCGAGCTTGCGGCGCGGTGCGGGTAGCAGTAGCGCGTGCAACGCAATAGTGTTGTATGTGTGAGACGTACTTTAGAGACAGAGTAGGCAGCGAGCTTGCGGCGCGGTGCGGGTAGCAGCAGCGCGTGGAACGCAATAGTGTTGTATGGTGTGAGACGTACGTTGGAGACAGAGTAGGCAGCGAGCTTGCGGCGCGGTGCGGGTAGCAGCAGCGCGTGCAACGCAATAGTGTTGTACGGTGTGAGGCGTACCTTGGAGACAGAGTAAGCAGCGAGCTTGCGGCGCGGTGCGGGTAGCAGCAGCGCGTGTAACGCAATAGTGTTGTACGGTGTGAGACGTACCTTGGAGACAGATTAGGCAGTGAGCTTGCGGCGCGGTGCGGGTAGCAGCAGCGCGTGGAACGCAATAGTGTTGTACGGTGTAAGACGTACCTTGGAGACAGAGTAGGCAGCGAGCTTGCGGCGCGGTGCGGGTAGCAGCAGCGCCAGTGCTCGTGCCTCCCGCAGTAGCGCGTGGAAGGCTAGCGCCGCGCCCGCGCTCGACTCCGCCGCTGACACCTCGTAGAACTGGCAACCGAACCGCAGCGATAGCTCCTGACCCTCCTCTGCGTGGACCTCCCTAATAATACAAATAATTATGTTGAACTTCTCTTGTCTCTCTGTTTGGCTTAGTGAATATAATAGATTCAATTCAAATAAACTCGAAAGTATACCTGGCGTGTTCGAGGTCTCTTTTATTCCCTAAGAGGGTTATAGCTGCGCAGCCCGGTAGCCGGCTTCGAACAAGCAGCGAGAGGATCTCCGCGGCCGCCAGAAACGAGCGTCTCTCGCACACAGAGTACACAACCGCAAACGCATCGCCCCACCGCACGTGGTCACCTATGCAGCCGCGAATCTAATCAAGAAAACAAATTATTCATAAAAATTAAATAATTTCAAATATTTTAATATATGTAATATATTTTCATCTCTTCAATAGAACACCTGTTGAAATGATTTGCACAGAACTCTACGCTAACAAAATACGTTACTCAGAGAAATATATAGATTTATTTTTGATAGATTAACTAAGTTATAAATATATAAAATAAATGTATGATATGTAAATTTACAAATTTATATTCACACAATTTAAAAATAAACTGTAATAGGGCCATTGCATGTGTTTTCTTCCACAACAGTACAGTACACCGAGCCAAGTGATTGCGCAGTATCAAACATCGACAGCATTGGTTCAATAAGCTGTCGTTAAGATGAAAACAAAACACGTTTGGTCCAATGTTCATAACAATGACTAAGTATTTCATTTGTTAAGATATTACGCAACCACGCCCAATCGCTCGTACAGATTTTACATAGCATTTTGTTGTAAAGGTAAGCCATGTCGGTTTGGTATGACGATGGTATCTTATATTGATGGTACGGAGCTCGTAATTCTTTAGTAATTAAATTGTTCGGTGTACGTCAATGAACTGACAAGCGGCGCATCACTGATTATTATCTCTTTTGTTTTATCTCAAACTGACTTTTGTCCCATCTTCACTTTATGCTCTTTACAAGAAAGTAAACTCGCGTTTACCAACATAATCTATACCATTATATATAGGTGGTACATGTTATATTTTTATCATTATCTTTAAAGCTCTTCAAAAGTCCACTGCTGAACATAATAATTCATTAAAGATATCACAAAGCACGGTCCAGAGACACATGCATCCACCGACTCTCTGCATGTCTTACCAGATCGTCACTCTAGCAGGCCGTCATACACTCTACTTGCCGACACAAGGCTGCCACTAGACCTTTATACCCCATCTATTATCGGTACATTGAGTTGCGATGGCAACTTCAGCCTACTGATCATCCATTGGGCTATAATTAAAATATTATTGGCACAGAACAGCAGCCGCGTATTTACGAATATGTGATTCAAATCTTATCTTTTTCCCTTTAGAGTATAAATTGAATAAATCATGCACACTCGCATTAAAAATAAAAAATAAATTATTGATCACAAAAGCCTTAATCTAAAATTAAAATTCACTGCAGGCGTTCAAAATTTCACTGCTGAACGCAGATTATCTCATAGGATTTAGTCACACCTTGACCGCTTGCCGCAGCAGGCTAATTGGTAAGCGTGGTTTTCTATCATCTTCGGTTGTTATTGTTATCAGATACGACATACAATACCAATAATATAGGGTAGCGGATATTCTGATTCCGCCACTTGTTAGTTATATAAAAATATCTTAATCAACACATATATATATATATATATAGGATAGGGTGACAAACGAGCACACAGTCCACCTGATGGTAAGTGGTTGATGTGGCCCATGGACATCTACATCTATCCTCGATTACGAATCAAAATGCAGATGCGTTGTCACCCTTGAGGACTAAGATGGAATGCCTCGTTTCCAGTAAATAGAGTCTCCGGTTCTCTACACTCATCATACGAAACACAGCAGCATTAAGCGACTATTTTACGTTGGTATTCTGTGAGAGTGTGGTCCTTCCCCGGTCGAGCCGACCCATTCGTGCTACAACCATACTACTAATATAACTGCAGAATGGCTCTACCACGTGTATAAATATTCTTAAGGAAAACAATTTGAGGCACAATTATCAATACTCGTTACACAGAGTGTATATATAGAGTAGTAGTAATGTAAACTATAAACGATAGAATATTGGATAGTGTCAAAATATTAATTTTATGTAAGTTTTCATAATACATATTATGCAAGAATATAATCTCACCGCGCAATTTGAGGTGTCGAGTATTTCAACTTCTGAGACGGCACCGTCAAAAGCAACTCTATGTTGATAGAGGAAATCTGAAACAAAAGAGATTACTTAATTAAAAAATACCAAGCAGCTATATCACATTTTAGTTGTTGTTAGTGACTGATTAATGACACCTTTCTTAAAGTTCTACCAAAACCACATATGGATAGGGACTTAAAACAATTATTCTAAGGTTAGATACAAATATTTGAACACTATAAACCAAAGAAAAACAAAGAGAAAAGAAAGGTCAGAATATTAGACTAGATGGAGAAAAGGGGAAAATATATTCTTCTTTTGAGGATTTTTGGAGGAGTTCAAATGAAAGGACAAAAATTCAAACCGTGAACAATCATTTGCGGGCCGTACTTGTTCCGTGGGGATTCGCATCCGCGGCCACGACCCTCAGCTATGCAACCTAATGCTAAGCTACTGCGCTATAGAGTTGTCACTCTCCAATCAAATTTTAGAAAGCAAAAGATTTATTTTGTAATACTTTACTTATTTAAATAGCATTAAATTTTAAAATAAACAACAACAACCATCAAAATTCTGACGCGAACAGATTCTTGAGTAAGGTCGAAAGTGAGGAGACAATTTAATTTTAGCGTGCGTTAAGAAGCTATCCAATATGGTCAATGGGCATTAATAGCATAAATTAAGCCAGCTCATTTAAACTCCATGGACTCGCAAGTGAATAAACCGATATTATTTTAATGCTTTATTACAAAATCCTTACTGTGTGATTAGTACTTTCATTGGAACGTTATGTCCGGTCCCAGTATATCGATATGGATGAGCATTATAGTTAAAGATATAAGTATGTACATGGGTTGCCGGATTAACCACGTAACAAGAGTAGCAATTGCTACGGGCCCCTCGCATAATTAACCCGCCCATCACCGCCTAAGCGTAATATTTTGAGTAAAACTTATTAATACGGTATATTGAATTAACTTGATTTCACAAAAATGTAAAACTTTTCAAAAGACAATCGGTAATAGATTACTTCGTTGGCGAAAATAAAACACAGAATTTCATAGGTTTAGGTCATTACGGTAAACGCACACGTTTTAATGCCCAACCTGCCGAATGGCTCGGTTATCATAATACTGATCAAGCGGGAAGATGATACGCTTACGACTTGTCTTGGCATATGGTCTGTCACAACTGGTCACTTCGTTCACGCAGATTTCAGATGTCATACATCTTTCCTGTTGGACCTTCTATATATTACGATTATTACGATTTCCGTCGAAGTTGCTCAGCTGGTGGTCTTATTTTGTCTACCTGACCCACCGATGACCGATGGACGAAGGCAGTCTAGACCAAGGGAGAGGCCATGAAGGTTAGTTTGGACATAGCGAAGGCCTTTGATCGAGTTTTGCACAAAGCGCTTCTTTCAAAACTTCCCTCTTATGGGCTTCCCGAGAAATTATCCAATGGATCACCAGTTTTCTTACAGATCAGAGTATGTATTAAGGTCGTAGTCGACGGTGCATGCTCCGACTCCAAACCTGTGAATGCTGGTGGTCCACAAGGCTGCGTGCTACCTACCCTGTTGCAAATCAATGATATGTTGCATACTAGTAGCATTCATTTTTATGCAAACGACATCACTGGCGATGCTTTATACACCTGCCGTGCTAACATTTCTCGGGAACACGTCGTTGAGTGTCGGATCAAACTTGTGTCTGAAGTCACGTATTTGTTGAACAAAGTCTCAGATTGGGGGTGACTAAAGTTTAACCCTCAAAAAAACAGGATTACGCTTTTACCGCAAAAAATAGGCCTTTTGTCGTATCTCCTAGATTTGAGGGCACTTCCCTCGTTACCTCAGTCAGCATCGGAATCCTTGGCGTTGACATTTCGAGAGACGTACAGTTTCGTAGTCACTTGGAAGGGAAGGCTAAACTGGCATCAAAAAATTTAGTGTTCAGTAGAGCGAGACGGGTAGATGTGCCGTGTAGTGGCGGTTGAGAATATCCACTACCCCATATCTTCCCGTGGGTGTCCTAAGAGGCGACAGAGGGAGACAGGCAGAAGATGGGCAGCAGCATCTTCCTGATAACAACTGCGTTATAATAAAACACTGCGGTTGCCAACCCGCTCGCCAAGCATGGCAACTATGGCAAATATCCCCCCATGAATAATGACGCAAAAAAACGGCCCCCAGTCCCCGGCGGCCCCGCTATTCCTGGATACGGTGGCGACCATGGTAACGGCGGGGCAGGGGGTGCTAAGAATCTTCGGTGGAGGTTCGGTTGCCACCTACGACGACTCAACCTGGCAACATATAATGCACGCACCCTGAGGACTGACGAGAAGATACTGGAGCTGGAAAAAGAGGTAGACAAGTTGCGCTGGCATATTATTGGATTATGTGAGGTCCGAAGAGAGGAGGAGGATACGGCAATCCTCGAGTCCGGTAACTTGTTCTACCACCGGGAGGGCGACCATCTGTCCCAAGGTGTCGGATTTATCGTCCACAAGTCTCTCGTCAACAACGTTGTAAAGATTGGGAGTGTGTCGACGAGGGTCGCGTACCTGATACTCAGAATCACCAAACGGTATTCGCTGAAGGTCATACAGGTTTACGCACCAACCTCGGCACATCCCGATGAGGAGGTGGAGGAAATGTATGAGGATATTTCCAGAGCCATGCATTCCTCCAAAACCCACTACAAGGTGTTTATGATAGTGATTATTGAGACTTCAACGCAAAACTGGGCACAAGAGAAAGCGGTGAGCTGAAGGTGGGGAAATTTGGAGTAGAACAACGGAACCGAAGGGGCCAGCAGCTGGCCGACTTTATGAAGAAAGAGGGACTCTTTATTATGAACTCTTTCTTTCAGAAGCGGCCCCACAGGAAGTGGACCTGGTCGAGCCCCGACGGTTCGACAAAAAATGAGATTGACTTCATTATGACGACCAGACGCCAACTGTTCAGTGATGTCTCAGTGATCGCAAGGGTGAAAACTGGCAGCGATCACCGAATGGTTAGAGGCACACTGAACCTAAACGTTAAGTTGGAGAGGTCTCGTCAAATGAAGTCAACGCTCCGTCCCCCTCGTGCTCTAATCCAGAATCCCGAAACCTTTCAGCTCGAGTTACAAAACCGCTTTAAGTGCCTAGAGGATTGCAATGCAGTGGACGATATGAATGACAAGCTCGTGGAAACTGTCCATGCGGTCGGAGCTAAGTTCTGCAAGACCCGCCGCAGAAGAACACAAAAACTCTCCGATCACACTCTTAATCTCATGGCTGTTAGACGGGAGATGAGGCTGCAATCGTCAACAGATTTGACAGCATACAGGCAACTGAACAGACAGATCTCCAAATGCATGCGGCGAGACTTACGCAACTTTAATACTGCTCGTATTAAAGAAGCGATCGAGCGGAACCAGGGCTCCAAAGTCTTTGCCAGAGATCTGTCTGACAGTAGGAGCTAACTGTCAAGGCTGAAGACTGAGTGTGGCAACATCGTTTCCGGGGCACCTGAGATTCTGAGTAAGATTGAGAAGTTCTATGGGCAGCTGTACACATCATCGTTGGAACCACACGCAAGTGTGAGTAACGATCCAAGAGCAAGTCTTATCCGACACTATTCCGATGATATCCCGGACGTCAGTCTGAGCGAGATTAGAATGGCTCTCCACCACCTTAAAAACGGCAGGGCCCCGGGCGAGGATGGAATTACATCGGCGCTTCTGAAAGCGGGTGGAACACCGATACTTGAAGTCCTTCAGAAGCTCTTCAATTCCGTCCTCCATGGTGGCACTACTCCGGAGACGTGGAGCAGAAGTGCGGTGATCTTGTTCTTTAATAAAGGTGACAATGCTCTCTTGAAGAACTACAGACCGAGTTCCCTACTGAACCGCGTCTACGTGCTGTTTTCGAGAGTCATTACGAATCGTCTCGCACGCAGACTCAACGACTTCCAGCCTCCCGAACAACCTGGTTTCCGAAAAGGCTTCAGTACCATAGACCACATACATACCTTGCGGCAGATTGTACAGAAGACTGAAGAGTACAGTCTGCCACTTTTCCCGGCGTATGTGGACTATGAGAAAGCCTTTGATTCCGTCGAAATTTGGGCGGTGCTACAGTCTCTTCAGCGGTGCCTAGTTGACTGTCGGTATAATGAAGTGCTGAAGTGTTTGTACAGTAGGGCTACGATGGTTATCTGAGTACAGAACCAGAGCACGAAACCTATCCAACTGCAGAGAGGTGTAAGACAGGGTGATGTTATATCCCCGAAACTCTTCACCGCTGCGTTGGAAGATGTTTTCGAGCTACTGGACTGGAAAGGATACGGTATTAACATCAATGGCGAGTACATCACTCACCTTCGATTTGCCGACGATATAGTCCTTATGGCAGAATCGCTGGAAGACCTTAGCACTATGCTCAATGACCTCAATGGTGTCTCCCAACGGATAGGTCTTAAGATGAACATGGACAAAACAAAGATCATGTTTAATGTCCATGTCACACCTATGCCGGTAATTGTTGGGAGCACTATGCTCGAAGTTGTTGACGAGTACGTTTACCTGGGACAAATAGTCCGACTAGGTAAGTCCAACTTCGACCGAGAGGTCAATCGACGGATTCAACTCGGCTGGGCAGCGTTCGGGAAATTACGACACATCTTCTCATCAGGTATACCTCAATCTCTGAAAACTAAAGTGTACAACCAGTGCGTGTTGCCAGTGATGACTTACGGATCTGAGACGTGGTCCTTCACCGCTGGCCGTATGAGGACGCTCAAGGTCGCTCAGCGAGCTATGGAGAGGGCTATGCTCGGAGTTTCACTGCGTGATAGACTCAGAAATGAGGATATACGCAGTGAAACCAGAGTGACCGACATAGCCCAACGGATTAGTAAGCTGAAGTGGCAATGGGCCGGCCATATAGCTCGAAGAACCGATAACCGATGGGGAATAAAGGTTCTCGAGTGGCAGCCTCGTACCGGTAGGCGTAGTGTAGGGCGACCCCCCACTAGATGGAGTGACGACCTGGTAAGACATGCAGGAAGAATTTTAGCAGT